TCTAATATCCTTATACTGTAGGGACTATGGTTATGGTGGTAAGGTTACTGAATTAATATTCAGTTAGTTACAGCTACAACTGCTGTAGGACCTGGGTTTTTATCCCTTAAAGTTTAGCAAGTACTGTACTACTGGAATTGCCTGAATCAGATACTATTAGGTTAAAAAGAAGAACATAAGAATGGAGGAAACTGCTGTGGGCATATTGGCCCATACTGGGCAGTCCCATTTACACCCAACCCCTATTGTTCATATATCCATCCAACCTATGTTTGAAGCTACCCAGCATATTCGAATTAATGATGATGTTTGGTAGCTTGTTTCATTCATCCACAACTCTATTTCCAAACCAATGCTTACCTATTTTGAACCTAAATCTAAATTTGTCTTATTTAAAACCATTGTTATGAGTTCGCTCCTGGTTGGATAGCTTGAGTACCTTGTAATGTCCCCTTTGTTTAGCCCTGACTTCCATTTATACACCTCTATTATATCGTCCCTCACTCTACGCCTCTCGAGGGAAAGCAAATTAAGACGCTTTAACCTATCTCTGTACTCAAGGTTCCTAATGCCCAGGATTAGTCTTGTCATTCTCCTCTGAATTCTTTCTAGGGATTCTATATCCATTCTGTAATACGGTGACCAGAATTGAACTGCGTAATGCAAGCAAGGTTATAAATGATTAAATCAATTTTACAGTCAGTTCCTGAACCAAGGACATAAAATTTTACAGCAGGTTAAGACCCTAAAGGTTAGCAAGAAGAAGAGTTTTTCTTCTTGTTATAAAAAATGAATGAGAAAAAACAACCTACAGTACTATATACTGTATTGTATACATAATTCTTTATATTCAGTCAATTTCATAGAAATTTGCATTTGTGTTTGCTTATGTTTTGTTTACTTGCAATATATGTTATTCTAATTGTGTTAAAAGAAGTACAATTATCAATAAACAAAAAACAGACAAAAGACCTGCTAGGTTCTTATAAAAATTAAACAACAAAATACAACATAGCAAAATTATCAATTGCCACTGAAATTGACAAGACTCTACCACAGAAAACTAAGAAAATTCTGATTATTCTGCTCATTTGAGATCTAGTTGTAATACATCTACTTATTAATTTTGCTTAAATTTACAATTATTTCCTTAAGTTATTTTAACATCCGCATCCCTTGTACACTTACTTACTCACTCCCACATAAGAATGGAAGAAACTGCAGCAGGTCTATTGGCTCATACTAGGCAGTCCCGTTTGCACCCAGCCCCCATTGTTCATATATCCGTCCAATATAGGATGGACGGTCCAACCTATATTTGAAGCTACCCAGTGCGTTCAAGTTAATGATGAGGTTTGGTAACTTGTTCCACTCATCCACTACTGATATTTCCAAAACAGTGTTTATCTACCTTGCACCTCAATCCAAATTTGTCTAATTTAAAACCATTGCTATGAGTTTGCTCTTGGTTGGATAGTTTAAGTACCTTTGTTATTTCACATTTGTTTAACCCTGACTTCCATTTACAGAGTATACTCCTTGATCATATCACCCCTCACTCTATGTCTCTTGAGGGAGTGCAAATTCAGATGCTTTAATCTGTCTCTATACTCAAGGTTCCTAATGCCCAGGATTAGTTTTGTCATCCTCCTCTGTATGCTTTCTAGGGATTTGATATCCATTATGTAGTACGGTGACCAAACCTGAATTGCATAATCCAAGTGAGGTCTCACAAGTGCGAGATATAGTTTTAGGATAACCTCGCTAATCTTGTAACGAACACTCCTTTGTATGAACCCAAGTACTTTGTGAGCCTTGTTTCGAGCAAATTCACATTGTTGTCTTTGTTTAAGATTCCTAGTTATCAGTCAGATTTCTCTATATCAATGTAGCTCATTTGATATCTGGTTTCTCCATTTACATCTCCTAGGCCAAGTACCTGTACTTTACATTTGTCTACATTAAATTTCATCTGCCATTTTTTCAGACCATGCAAAAAAATGTTAGGATCTTCCTGTAGTTTTGCAGAGTCCTCGTGAGATTTAATTACACGCCCTATTTTAGTGTCGCCAGCAAATTTACTTATGTTGCTGTCCACACCTATAGCTATCTCGTTTATGTATAAACGAGAATCTGTTTCCTGTCCTGTAACCAAGCCCTATTCCAGTTTAGAATAGTTCCTCCAATTCTATGTGCCTCCACTTTATATATTGGTCTTTCATGGAGGACCCTGTCAAAGGTTTTGCTAAAGTCGAGGTAAACCACATCATAATCGTGTCCATCATCCACCGATTCGAAAACAGTTGAAAAGAATGATAATATATTTGTCAGACATGAATGCCTACTTGTGAAGCCATGCTGGGAATCATTGATCAATGTAAGCCAATTCTGTTTCCTTCTTCACAGAGCAGTAAGAAAAAGATAAAATTTATGGAAGAATAGAATGTGAAAAATGTCTCTTGTATTTAGAGTTCATGCAGATGAAAGCTTCACATCTGAAAGTATGAATGGCTTAAAGTATTTACTCTTCACATTGTACTGGTGTATAACAGAAAAGCAGTCTCAACACATTTTAGAGGCAGCATACCTGTACTGTATTGGTTTGCTTTACTATATCACATGTCTCAAACAGCATCATTAGTTGCCTTTTACTATATACAGTAAACTGTACTTATGATTTTAGGAAGATTTTACACACTCCAAAGGAGACTTCTCTTAAACTAAAAAACTTATACAACAATATGTAACAGACATACAATAGAAGCTTAATTCTGCCTATAGTTTATATTTATAGAGTATTTGTAAATTATCTTAAAAGTTATCTAAATACTGTACAGGGGGTCCCCGGGTTATGAATGGGTTCCGTTCCTCAGGATGTTCTTAAGTTGGATTTGTACGTTAGTCAGAACACATGCTATATGCATACTGTACTTACAAAACAATGTTTAAAAGTCCACTATATCATAGCCTAAGTCCTTATATACAGCTAAAATCACTTAATTTAAGACGAAAGAAGAAACAGAATGACAAAATACAGTAAATGAAAGTAAAAAAATAAGTCATCAGGTAAATAAAAAACTGCAAATTTCAAGTTTAACCCCGTTTGTATTGGTGGGCATTTGTAAGTCGGGGACCTCCTGTATACTGTACTGTAACTAATGGAAAGTTAAAAACTAAAGAAAGAAACAGATCACTGTACCTTTAAGCCATTATCATCCTAACTCTTATGAGGTAAAATTTTCCATTTAAAGAAATATTAGTTAAAATTTCAGTTGCTAACTGTATAAAATCACTATTGCTGGGATATGATATGACCATCATTACGTTTTTACTTTTATCCTCTTCGCCACTGATTGGCTCGTTAGATGCTTGGGCGGTCAGTAATGTCTCTGTCATGCACTGTTAGCAAGTACTGGCTTTAGAATGTATCTGTACCTGTGCCAGTATTGGTCGAATCTTGTCTTGAAAGAGCTCACACTCAGTGCCATCACAACACTCTCTGGCAGATTGTTCCAAGGGTTTACAGTTCTAACTCTGAAAAATGACTTCTTCAACCTTCAGCTATGACCCCTGATGGGTAAGGTGTCCGCCAGCTCCAGTTATGGACCGAGTAGTGCTCTCCGAGAAGTTTATACACTTCAATTATGCCGCCCCTTGCCTATCTATAGTACAGCATTACCCGGCTTCACACGGTTTCACTTTCCGATTTCTCATTTACGCGGTACCTTGCCAGGACCGGACTTTCACTTTCCGCGGTGCATCTACTCATATACGCGTGAAGTATAATTTTTTTTTCTTTTATTTAGCTCATAAAATTCATACAAATTACCCGGCCAGAATATAATTTACATTGCTGGAATTCTTACAATATGATGATCATTTTGAATATAAACATCATGGATTTTGCATTCGACATACAAATTTTAGATCTAATGTAATAATTTGGTTTACACAAAGCAAGTATTTTATCTTTTGTGCAAAATATATGAAGTTTACATTCAAAATATTCCCTGACCTGCAAGGAATCCAGAAATGTCAATTATATTATCCTAACTTTAGTGTGAGTTATTATTTATTACTAAAAATGTAAATTACTATTTTCTCCCAAAGCTTCTCTGGTAGGGAGGGTTGGTGGGGGGTGGGAGGGACCGACCGACCATCTGGCGCGGTTGGAAGAGGGGGGGGAGGCAAGGTGGGGTACTTTGATTGACAGATAGTGTGTGAAGAATATATATTTTTTTTTATTAACTGAAGGTATTTGTTTTAGCTCATAAAATTCATACAAATTACCCGGCCAGAATATAATTTACATTGCTGGAATTCTTACAATTTGATGATCATTTTGAATATAAACATCATAGATTTTGCATTAGACATACAAATTTTAGATCTACTCTAAGTACTTTGTTTACTCTGAGTAAATATGTTATCTTTTGTGCAAAATATATGACGTTTACATTCAAAATATTCCCTGACCTGCAAGGAATCCAGAAATGTCAATTATATTATCTTAACTTTAGTTTGAGGTATTATTTATTACTAAACGTTAAAATCTAGTGTTTCACCCAATCGTTTCTCAGAGAGGTAGGGGCCAGTGAGCTGGGAAGAGGGGGGGGGATTTGAGTCCATTATTTGAATGAACATTAACCTGGCGACTGTATTTCTCTTAAATATTATTTGTGTGAGCATACCATCATAAAATTTAGATGTTATTTTTACTACAACATAGGTATTGTGTCGGAAAAAGTGGAGTTTGGGGGTCGGGCCAGTCTCTATTGGAATTAATCCCATATGTTCTGTTGTTCACTTTACGCGGTTTTCACTTTCCACGGTACCCTGTGGGTTCAATTGACCGCGTAAATCGGGTACTACTGTATAAACTAGGCAGTTGCAAGCATTCTAATCTCTCTGGGTAACACAGGTGCTATAGTTAGGGTTGGACTATTGTTAAAAGATATGTCAATAATTAATCTCTAATATGTTGTAATACTAAGACATACCTTGGTTGCTTGAATCACAGTCTTCGTCGATGTATGGGGCAGCCACGTGCTCTATCTGTACCACCTGTGGCACCTGTAGCAAGTCAGGCTCCTTCGCCTCTAAGGAATGGCGGGACGGCAGCGAGCTGAAGGCAAAAAAACAACTCAAAATAGAAGAAACTGAGAAGTGAGGAATGTTTTGAAACTTGGATCCCTTACAGTAGTGACAAAAATGTAATACAGCTCCTCCCCGACTTAGGACGGGGTTAGAGATCTAAATCCAGGTCGTAAGTCGAAAATGCTTAAATAATACATAGAAAATCCAAAATGGGTCTTTTTTTCTTCTCAGCACCACAAAACTCTCACTTTTAAGCTTGCTGGCCATTTTAAAGTGAATTACAAACGAAAATTTTCTCTGTGTATTGATGTTGGGACTCGAAAATACGTGGTCGTAAGTAGAGTAGGTCATAAGTTGGGAAGGAGCTGTACCTGTAAAGGGCAATACAAAATTTTATCTGTAGAGGAGACTACCGTTTATCAAATATGTGGACTGCAATAATATACTGATCAGATGGTCTTTCTCATAGAGTCTCCAGTTGTCAGTCCCAGAAAGTATGAACTGAGTTCATAAAAATCAACATTTCATCCAAAATAGATCTACCTCGGCATGTATGGTTATAAAAAGTACATTCATCCTGTGTTGATCTTAATGGAATTCACAGATCTCCAGCTGTGTATAACTTCAACTGATTCTAGGTTGGTAAGCGTAGGTGTTTCTGTGTGGCAGTAGCAAAGTACAGTAACTGACTGAGGATTGTCAACAAACAACTCAAGACCACTAAGCAAAATAACATCAACACACTACAATAAATAATGGTGCAACCACACAATTCCATAACCTTAAATAACCATTTCTACATAAAGAACCAATAAAATTCAAATTAAAATGACCAACACCAATACTAATATTAATTTGCCCCTGCTAATACACATTCCAGTGTTTTATCATACAATAGAGATGCACATCACAAGTTTTAAATAAACCACTGCTCATTTTACATGGATAATATAGGAACTATTGAATTTTATTCCGATAAATTTAAAATAGCTCATATCCCAGTTTCTGAGAATTCCAACTTGAAAATTTTTCTGCTATCTTCCCTATATCACAAAAAGCTTCACATACATACTGTACTTTGAAAATTATTAGCCATCGTTTAAGTTTCAATACCTTACAATATCTTTAAAATATGCTGTGTTAGTCTTCCCTAAACTTAAGAATATATTTGTTCTGTGAGTACAGCAGGGTACTGCAAATTTTTTTATATACTTATAATGATATAATATAAATGTGAAATCTCTGATACCTTAAAGTAACTCGTTTTTTCATTCTTTGAGAGACATCAGAATTCCCTCTGGTCATAGGTCTTTCAAAATACTTGTTAGTTGGAGTATTGGGTTCTGAAGATTGCTTATCCACCAGGATTGGCTTGGGCTTGAGCACTGACGCATAGGGCGGAGGAGCACCCGGAACCTGAATCGAAAGATGCATCACATTATGGTCAGACTATTGAACCCGAGAAGAAAAATAAGCTTCTAAGTGTTACAAACCAGGTTACCAAGAAATTGATGGTTAACATGGTGCGAAGTGTGATGGCCAACAGTTGTAACAATTGAATGAAACACAATGTAACACACATATCTTAAAGGCTCTTCTTATATATGCATAGTTCTTAGAAAATCACTTTGTTTCAAAATTTATGCAGAATAACTTAAAAGTATTTATGACAGTTTTAAACTCCTAGTCACTCTTACATTTAAGGTTACAATAAGATACTAAATAATATGTATCAGCATATCTGGTGATTAAATCTATATTTTATTGTCATTATCAGGTATTCAATTTATTTTAACAACAGTAGTAAGTGATAACATAGTTGCAAAGGAGAAAAGATACCTTGTACGTAGATAAGGATTGTCATGTATAAACAATATATTAGAAGGTTTAAAGGAAAACAGCATGAATATAAAAGTAATCTACAGATACAGAACTAAAAAAGTAAGGTAAATATAATCACTGTAAAACCTATCTGCAAAACCGAATTACCAGACAATAACTCTGTTATTTTCTACTATTTGTCAGAGACACTTACAAAATTATTGGTAGAAGAATGATTTTGGTCTAGTATACAGTACTTGAAGGTGGTTTATACACTATTTTTCTTTTTCTTTTCAGACACTTTCCTGCTTCTGTGTAGGAGGAACTAAAATTCTACCTTATTCCCTGTGATCTTCTGCTTCTACAAAAGACCCAATAATAAATTATTTAAGCAGTTTTGACAGACATTATGTCAACAAAACCCAAATTAATCTATTTATTTAAATTTCATCAATGGATTGTATTATTTTAAATTAAGCTCATGTTTCAATAAGAAAACAAGACTAACGGCAAGGGAAGACGATGGTGCCGTAGGATGATTGCTGGTGGCAGGTGTAAAAGAAGTGGTGGGCCCACTACTGCAGCTGTCTGGGGAACCTGGGTGTGGGGCAGGAGGCACAGTAGGTACACCAGCAGCAGGCAATGCCAAAAGACGTTTCCGATCCTCCATGTACAGGTCGATTAACTGATCCAATTTGGATTCAATATCATCAACCTAAAAGGAAATAACAATGGTTTATTTTTGAAAGAAAAAACGTAAATTCAGTATCATAGGCTACCTGTACTGAAAAAATGCACAGCAATTCTGAAAAGAATCTGGAGACAAAGTGATACTAAGATACACAACTATAGCATAAGTAAATACTGTACTGTACAGTCAGAACATAATACAGTATCCCTATTGGACGTAATCTTCAATCCCTGGAACTCTCCATTACCCGAAGAAAAAAAATCTGAGAAACGTCTCTCCATTTTGGGCATTTGAATTACTTTCCGATAGATTGCATCTCGCACCGACGTGTGGCTGCGTGCTAGATGCGTTGGTGGACTAGCTGCATGGGGAACTTAGCCCATAGGCTCATGTGATGTGTTGTGATTGGCAACTACTGTCATAAGACTACATGGAATGTCCGTGATTGGCTGAAGTATCTCCCAGCCTATCTCCTGAAACTCTAACATCATGATGCATTTAGTTTATAGTCCACTGCCAAAGTAGAAGCTTGTTCCCACACACTCTGCTGTTTTTGCGTATGATCTGATCTGTGTTATGCAGTACTACTGTACATTACTGTACCAGGATACAATCAGTCAAGAATACAGTTAAAGCAGCGTTAAGATGAAAAAAGTGATCACAAATATGTATACAGTACTGTACTGTACATTCACTAAGTATGAGAGTACCATACTTACAGTACTGTTCATTGCAGAGTGGACAGTGTATGCCTACTGTAGCCCATTGTATAGTGTGAGTGTGTGTGTGTGTGTGTACATTATACAGCACTTGTGCAATGCCAAAAGCTACAGAAAAAACATGTGGCACCAAGCTGCCACATTAGATGATATAGGGCAAAGCAGGCCATCCTGTATCATCATATCACCATTTGGCCTGCCTGTATCAAAGCTCAAGATGGCAGCATCTGATGGTAAGTACAGTACTGTATAGAGCATACAGTATACTGTATAGTATTTTGTTTAATTACAATACCTGTAAATGTACAGTAGTGTTTGCATAAATAAATATGGTATAGTACAACCCTGTGCGTATCACACTACAGTTTAGCCTACACAGCAATGGTGCTCAGTGTCAGACGCGCAGTTTAGATGCGGAAACATTCACCGGTGACCGGGAAATTTCAGTAGGTGTGTGATTTTTTCGGGATAAGAGAATTCGTCTCAATACAGAACCTAGAAATCTCTGAAAACCAGAAATGCTCTGTACAAATTGTTCAAGCTAACAGGTATATTACTGTACAGGTAATAATGATAAAATAAATAAAAAAGATGCAACAACACACATACAATATAATACAGTAGTACAGTATACAAATACGTACATGTATTCATCTTAGCACATATGCAAACAAATAGGAAGACTCCATCAAACACACAAATATACCTACATACATAGAAACAATCCATTTTGGCCGAGTGTCCTGTGTTTTTCAAACGTTAAACAACAGTGAGATTTTTACATTAAGTATTTGCGCTGATAGAGAAAGATGAGGGTTTTAAAAAAATGCACCTGATTTTTTATCTCGGGGTTTGCTCCCAGACCCAGAACAAAATTGGAGGGAGGGAGAGAGGGAGGGAGGGGGGGGGGGGGGGGGGGGGGGAGATTTTTCCAAAAATTTCTCAAAAAATAAGCCTGATTTTCAACCTAGGAAACTCATTAACAGACCCAGAATTGAAAGAATTTTTCTGGGAAAATTCTGAGTCAATTTTAATCCCAGGTATTGGAGAGTTCTGGCTAATGGATATTATATATATTTCAAAAGGTCCTTTAGAGTCTATAATAAACTAAACTACAATTCAAAACTCCCATCCACTTATAGGCATAATTGTGTACGGTCAAAAGCACAAATAAACTTTACTGGACACATCACAAAATTTAATTTTCTTCCCAACACTCAAACCTGTCTATTAAAATGCACTTTACTTAATTCTTCTCATACTCTCTTGACTTACCTGTCTCTCCACTTTAACTATCCTAGATGCCAGACTGATCTTGGACTCGTACACATCTTTGGCTTTAGAACCCTGCTTCCCCAATATCTGGTCTAGTCTGGGGGTCAAACACAATAAAAATAAAACATTACCAAGCATCCACTTAAATCACCTAAAGTAATATGTATGATCAATTGATGGCTAAAGAAAGGATATGGAAAAATATTATTATATTGTATATATCAAAACATGAAAGTTATGATGTTGATAAACCCTGAACAGAATTTAAATTGTTATGTATTTCAGCTACACCACAACTCTATATGCTTAAACCATTAAATAATGTTTAACACTTATCAACAATACTGTACCTACTACATAAAAGTTTATAAATATATTCTGTACTTGTACTGTATATATCGTCTTTATTAATCATTTAATAATTTCTTTTATATTTCTTTAATTTTCTTTGTGTAATGTGTGAGTGTCTATGAGACAGCATGATTTTGAAAATGCAAAACTATATACTGTACTAATACTGTACACTGTAAATGTTTACATATGGTAAAAAAAAAAATCTTACCACTTTTTGTGTGGAACAACCCTGAGACAACATGAGTCATATGGATCATTTCAAAATTTATTGGACTCATCTGGGAAGATACTTTTTTTTTACTGTGTGTACAGGACATGTGTAAATGCATGGGTATGCAAATAAGTGTATGTATGAAATTGTGTACTTGCATAATGCAAACATTTGTTTGTGAGTGTGGGTGCCAATATAATGTACATGCATGTGTATACAGTACTGTACTGTATGTTCAAGTATATAATGGTATATGACTAAGCTGATCCATGTTTATGTTAAAGCCTCTCCCAAATAAATTATTAAAGAAGATACACACCTTCAATGGTCTGTGTCTATGAATTTTATAACATCAACATTTACATAAGAATCAATATGCTTAGGGAAATAAGGAATGGAGAAAATAGAGAAACCATTTTGAAAATACTGTACTGTACTATGCAGTAAGCACAGTTTTTGTACATGCTTATATCATGCTTCTACCATATTTACTTCAAAACAAAGTTTTGCCATCAAGATATTTGAGAGAAGCCCCTGGGCAGATCCAGGAAGCTCCCCATCTATAAAGCTCACTTTCTCTCTAACTTAGCCTTACAATTCCATAATGATGTGTGACTGAACCCAAAAGATGAAGCTGTCCAACCTTGTCAGTCTACCTGTATGTCCTCTCAGACTCTTCACTGAATCCTCACACCCAAGGTAGTTTTAAATAACCAATACAGTATACAGTACATACACTATAATTCTTAAAGGGAGATATTTTGGCTCACAGGTTGATGGAGACTACAGCAAACTGCATTTCAGGTTATAGAATCACAAGAACATCAATACGTTAAATGCACAATGCCACTCCCACATGTGGGTCAAAGTAACACACATCAGGCCGATTGCTGCAACTGCTACCACTGATGTCCTCTTGACCAAAGTCAAGACAGGGTGATTAGGGTGGCCAATCATTTGGTCTATGTTCATGAGTTTCCTCAAACAATGGAAGTGGACTAAAGCTAGCCATGGAGATGTTTCTTGAAGAACTAAAAGACACCCCCCTAAACTGTGGCACCACTCCTAGTACTGTTTTGTCCTGCAGATAGGAAGTTAATCCTTACCATCACACATCCCAAAGCACCATTAACATTTGTGAAATGTCAAGGCCAAGGGCTTTCTATAGTCTCCTATAGAAACAATACATGAGACCCTCTACTCTCATCTGCTTGTGCATGCATATACAGTTTGACTTTAGCTAAATCACCATTATAATACTGAATGAGCACCAAAAGGGTCAATTTACTTATTTTACATTACCAGTCTGTTAAGTCTGGACTTAAAGGAGCTCACATCTTGTGCTGTCACAACATTCTCAGGCAGGTTATTCCAGGAGCTCATAATTCTTACCCTAGATAGTTAGCTCCCAGTTTTCTGTACTGAGAGGTTTTAATCTTGAGGCTGTAACCTGAGGGAAACCTTCAGTTAACTCCAGATATGCACATATGACTGAGTAAAGTCCTTTAGGGTACTTATAAACCTCTTTGAAATTGCCACTTGCTTTTTTGTATTAGAAAATTAAGCAATTGGAAACATTCTAGTCTCTTGTTAAGTGAGGTGTCAGAGGGCTGCCACCAGTTTAGTAACCTTTTGCTGGATGTTCTCAATCAAATGCAAGTTTTTGTTACATCTGAGAAACCAAGCAGTTCCAATACTGTACTCATTGTGAAGTAACACTAAAATTTTGGAAATTGTATCGAAGATGGAACATGTAAGCCTTTCGACCTAAAAAAAAAGTTGAGTGCCATTTGAAAGAACCTTTATGGTTCCAGCATGTTTTTCCCTATGTCTAACCAGGAAAAAGCAGCTGTTCCAAGATGTGAAATTTTCTAGTGAGAAGTTGATTATAAAGTAACACTGTACTTCATATGTGTCTCAGTGTATATCTATATGACGAGACCATGTTACAAGCTAGTCCCTTCTTCATAGAGATATAAGATGAATCCAAGCTTTGTGAACTCATTTAGTTCTTCAATGCCCTTGGTCATTATTTAAGCTTATAGATCCTTTCCAAATGGCCTCACAGTCTCACTGGCAATTCCCTTAATGTTCCACAGTTAAGGGATAGGGAGAGGGGGGGGGGGGGAGCTAGTTTCTTTCAATAAATTTTCCTGACATAATTTTACAAGTGTTCAAGATGTTCTGGGAAGGTTGGTATGACTCTGAGGAGTAGTAAGAGCTCCCTATCCCAAGACATTGCCAAATGTTCCACCCAAATGTCTACATACTAACCTCGAGCAAGAAAGGTTATCTAAGACTGGTAAAGCCAATGACCATATTTTTAAAACTGATTAATTTCCATCTAAATATTTCTATAATTTCTAAAAGTAATAGCCAAACACAAAAGCAACCGAATATATGTATTTGTAAAACATATGGCTTACCTAACAGAAACATATGAAAAGATACACACAAAAAAAGAATCCTGGAATACATACTGTATATCCATTGAGTACAGCTGTATACCTTATCCTTTCATACAGATACAATTAAAGTCTGATGAAGATGTATGTAAGAGAACAAGACAAAAATATAATGTGGCAACACTTTCAATAGCTTATTACTCTATTTTATGGATAGTTATCATCTTTAAGTTGATATTTACAGCCCAAGGGTACCCAACATGAAACATGGATAAGCATATTTCAAATGAGTGTTAAACAAATAACTGACACTAAAATATACATGTATTATTTTTTAGTAAATGTTTTTAACATACAGTATAGTGATCTTATATTCCACTTAATATTTAAATCCTGACAGTTGTACAGTACAGTATATTTTGATATTCAGGAAGATATAGCATCTCATCCTATTATGGGCCACCAACATGCCACAAGTATTTTTAAAACTGATGGGACATAAAAGGTGGGAGGAGGGAGACCTAATTTAATTAATTGGAAAATGATTGTAGTGTAAAGAAGTTCCGTACTGAGTTTCGTGTATGGCAGACAGCCAAATGAGCTATGTATTGAAGAAAGCAGAGAGTGCATCTCACAGACTGTATTCATGTCTTGTATACTGCAATGTGTAGCTGTAATTTTATATACTGTACATTATGTAAATATATACAACAAATATATTATACATGACATCCGTTGGGATTTTATGATTACATTAATTACAAATTCATCCCTTAGCAAAAAAAAGTAAATCATATGATGTTATATTAAATGTGGATTTATATATTTAAAATAAAATTTTATGGTAACCAAAGACCTCTTTCTGTATTCATATAATTTTGAAATTAAGTAAATGAATAAATTTTTTCTACAAATTCTACATCACATACAGTATACCTAATCACATTCTCATTCATGGTGTACACAGCTTCACAATGCCATGTTTATACATGAATAATTTAAGATAATACTTATTTATAACTTCTAAAATACACAAGAAAGCACCTTTATATACAGTGAATTATTTGATACTGTGCTAAATTGTAAGACACAGATATATGAACATGCAAGAAAACAAGTTTTGACATGCAGAAGTTATCAATATAAACCATAATTAATCCACACAAACTAAATAATAAAATGTCCCAGGAAGTCCATAATCTGTGGCTACAGTACTAACGTCATTCATATAAAACATTTCAAGTCCTGCTTGTCCCAGGATGTCGTCTCGTCCTTTGTTTGAGTAATACGTAGTGTTACAAACTTATGTAATTCTTTATCTACTAAGCCTCTCTCAAGCCAGTTATAAATAAATCTGAGAACTTTTTGTTTGTCAGAAAAATACGAAGCTGCATATAAATTCTTGTATAATGAAAAATAATACTGCCTGGTAATTATAAACTCTTATATTTTTCAAAAGTACTTAAACTATACAGTACTCTGTAGTCTATGTAGTACATGGCCCCTGATATTGGATCTTCTCTCTTTGTTCACATAAAAGTGTGGGATAAAACTACAAAGGTATTCAAGAGAGAATTTTCATCACTACAGACTGTTATTTGTGTAACTAAAAAGGGACTGATGATAAAATTCTTGTGAATTAGCTCACTGGTGCAGAAGGACAAAAATTAGAATAAAATGGCCATTAAATAGTATATAGTCACTTCATTTGGCTTATATTAGTGCAAACTCTCTATGTTAACCTTCTTACATAATACAGTAGTGCCCAATATCTGATGTTAATCTACCAATGAAGATCTCGATTTCATCAATAAAGACTGCAACCTTAATCAATCATACCTTTGGTCAATTCTAACACAAGTCTGAGCTCTCTACAGAAAGTTTTCACCGTTTCCAATAATCATCTCATTCCATACACTCTAATTGTGTTCCACAATCCACCTCAATCATTAAACTGTCAAGGTGATCACTTAAGTCCTTAAAGGTTGTATAAATTACATCCTATTCTGTTTCTCCAATATTTTTGTGTAAATTTGTCCTCATTTGGAATACTGATCCTCCTCAGTGTGATACTATGTACTACACAGGCCAGCTCTTACATAATGCTACCTTATTTATATCTGAATT